ATTAGTTGAAAAAATGTCATAGGGGTTGATTATTTCAACCCCTTACAAAAATAGTTCAGGGTTGAAAAAAATTCAAAAAGTGTAGTTTTATTGACAGATAATGTTCACCAAGTTTGGTTTCTTTAGCTTGATGTACATGGAAGATAAAAAAGAAAAACAATTTTTTTTTGTAATTTTAGGAGGGGCGTAACTTTTCAGGGAAGGGTTCTTTCAAAAAATTTTAAACCAAAGACCCCTATTAATTTTCATCGGAGAATCGCCCCTTGAATTTTTTCGGTGTTATTTAGATACACCCTGTATATGGAAAAGTTTTGTTTCACAATTTCTAAATTTTTTTCTCAGTTATGGGCAAAAAAAGAGCCGCACCGTCCATCTTCGCCATATGTTAAAATGAACAACTTTCAACAACAATATCTCAAAATCTAGATTCAAAAAAAATTTCAAAAAAATATGACGCACGGAGGGAGCACTGGGTAATACGCTATATAAATTTCAAGTACATCTGTGCATTTTAGTATACCCGATATACCTCCTTAATTGGAAATGCTGTTCAATGCCTACTAGCGCAAAGCATAGCTTTGTTCCCAATGGCAAAGAGCTACCTACTAATCTGTAAGTACTATTACAGACAATATAGACATCAGTTTTAAATTTCCGAATTGCCGATAGAGTACACCACCAGCAGAATTTTAGGGAGAATCAAATGCAGCGGCCGGCATTCCTACGCGTATCCTAGCAACGCATAAACAACAGTTTGGCAATGCTGTGACGCGTACGCTCGAATTTACTTTGTAAACTTTTTCTATCAATGCCTGTTGTTTGTATTACTACATTTACTTAGGTACTTAAATGTATGAAGTAGGTATTGATAAAAGGGAGGTTCGTTTCGGCTTCTCTCTCTCCCTGTGCTGTCTTCAAAAGTCCTGGGGGGCTTCCCCAGAATCTTTAAGACACCTAGAGAGGGGGGGAGTCGTGGGGTAGAGCTAGTGGTCTCTTTAGCCTACGTCATCGAGTCACACGTCACATCAGTGCAAAAAATCCGAAGTCCGCATGTGGAAAAAAATTCGGGACCAAGGGTGCACGACATACAATGTGTCCCGTTTTTCCGCAAGCCAATTTTTTTACAGATAGTACCCTGAAGGGAGGTTATATTCTACTAATCATTTTATTGATGCAACAAAAGCCCGGCCTACTACAATTTCTTAATAGGGTGTTTTTTTCAGAAAGTAGTATTAGGCATTTTTTTTATCAAAAAGATAATATTATCAGGCTATTCAACACCCATCAAAATACCCATATACCAAATTTGAACAACAAATGTCTATGGAGTGTTTTTTATGTGGTGCCATACTTGGAAAAATTAGACAACTAAAAATTATAATAAGCAGGTCAAAGATTGCCATGAAAGTGAAAACAAGTACCAATTGGACAAAGAAAAAATACAGACACTATAAATTTAACACTTTTAATTGCGGCCATAGTAAAAATAATAATTAACGTACAAAAAATGTAGGTAATGAATTATAAATATTAAGCTGTTAAACAAAAAATCTAAATTAAATTTTTGTTTTCTCAAACTATGGATTTTTACTTTTGGGGTTTTATAAAACAAAGTTTATAAAAACAGACCAAGGATTTGGATGACTTAATGAATTGCATAAGTCAAGCTTGTGCAGGGATTACTCCACAACGGCTATGTAAATTATTTTTAAATTTAAGAAGATGATTGAAAAAATGTGTTCGACTGAAATGAGGTTCAATGGAGAAAACTAAAACTTAATTTAGAGTAACGTTTTGCAATTTTTTTGTTTAACAACTTAGTACCTATTTACAAATCATTACATTTTTGTAAGTTATTATTCTTATAATTAATTAATAATAATTAATTAATATAATTAAAAGTATTAAATTTATAGTGTATGTATTTTTTCTGTGTCCGATTAGTATTTGTTTCATTTTCATGGCAATCTTTGACCTGCTTATTATAATTTTCAGATGTCTGATTTTTCGAAGTTTAGCACCACATAAAAAAACAATCAATAGACATTTGTCGTTTAAATTTGGTAGATGGGTATTTTAATGGGTGTTGAATAGCCTGGTAATATTATTTTTTTAATAAAAAAAATGCCAAATACTACTTTCTGGAAAACCACCCTTTTAAAAAATCGTAGTATTTAACACGCGGTCTGAAGCGATAAGCTACATACATTGTCTGTGGTACTATGAAGCATAACCAGTATCGCACTGGGCGATATAAACTTTATTACTAATGATGTTGTGGGAAACAACTACTCTGCGGTCTATTGAACCACCCAGCATTGAATTACTCCTCCAATATCTAGTAAGTAGCTAAGGTAATTCGTCAGCAGAATCACCAAACATAAACCGGTTTGTAACTTATTAGTTCTCATCTCTATTTGAATCTCCATGAATCGATATGTTTTTATTGACGATTAAGATATATACTTTGTAGTTATATCTCACCCACACATAATATCTCGGTAAATAGACGTCTAAATAGGTAAATCTTCGTCGGTTTTTTTCACATATGGCAGTACTGATGAGAGTTAATAAGTTAGAATCCGGTTTATGTGTGATGATTCTGCTGACAAAGGTCTTAGTTATTTACTAAATACTGAAGAAGTAATTCAATGCTGGATGTGGCTGTAGACCGCAGAGTAGTTGCACAGTATTATTAATTATAAATTAGTATATAAATTTCCCAAAAAGATACAAATTCTACAATTCCAATACCAAAAAATGCCACAAAATTGTGTTAACATTTTTTTTTTGAGATCTAATAACTCAACACATAGTGGTTAATCAAATATACGAATGAAATGACATTGCGACTTTGTTAAACTAGTTTTATCTAGAAAGTGAAGCTTTAGCGGACTTATTTTAGTCGGATATAAACTACTATCGAAATAAATTAAATAGACCCCTGACATTGGAAACCGATATTAAGAAAACTTATGGGCAGAAAATTTTGAAATTTGAACCGTATATAGCCTCACTATTACTATATTGTTTGCTAAAATTTCAGTTAGTTTTGTTACCCCATTTTTAGTTATTAATGAAAATGTTGAAAAAATCACGGTTTTCTGCCTACAAAATTGATACCTCTCACTTTAACTCGTCGTAATTTTTTTGTTAATTGATAAAAAAAATCCAAATTTTTACTGACGATAAGTCGAACTATTGTATTTAGTACTGTGAAGATCATTTGTTTCAAAAGCTCTTCTTTTTTTATTTTTTAGCAAAACAGAAACATCTCCGTAAATATTGTGTTCTTTAAAAATAAAAAAACTGACATAGGTAATAAATAATTGTAAACAACAATCTGAAAAAATTTGTTAAAATAGTATAGTTATAAATGATATTCTTAAGAACATTATCGGAAAGGTCAATTACGTTCACGGTCCGATGTAAGGTATACAGTATAGCCTTTATAACTGGATTATTTCAACAAATTTTTTTTTGAGATTGTTGTTTACAATTATTTACTGCTCGAGTCAATTTTTTTCTTTTTTTTTAAAGAATGCAATATTTACGGAGATGACATTCCCTTCTGTTTTGTTTAAAAATAAAAAAAGAACAGCTTTTGAGACAAATGACCTTCATAGTACTAAAAACAATAGTTCGAGTTATCGTCAGTAAAAATTTGGAATCTTTTCATCAATTAACAAAAAAATTACGACGAGTTAAAGTGAGAGGTATCAATTTTGTAGGCAGAAAACCGTGATTTTTTCAACATTTTCATTAATAACTAAAAAATGGGACAACGAAACCAACTGAAATTTTAGCACACAATAGAGTAATAGTGAGGCTATAAATGGTCCAAATTTCAAATTTTTTTGCCCCTACGTTTTCTTAATATCGGTTTCCAAAGTCAGGGGTATATTTCATTTATTTCGGTAGTAGACAAATAGCTGTTCTACTCAATCAAAGAAATTAATGAATTTTTTACTTGATTTTGAAGAATTTTTTTATTTGATTTTTAAATTTATTTTCATGCGCAACACACAAAATTGAGGATAATTTTGTGATTTTTTTTTTTGACCCTGAATTAGGTAATTTTTGTGCGTAGTAATTCTCTTCGATTTTCTGTGTAAAAATTAATTCAGCTAAAAACTCAATTTCTTTGACTGTGTAAAACCGTAAAAGTAAGGAACAAATTGAAGGTAAACTTGCGCAATTTATTGCGCAATAAATTCCCGTACGTACCGCGGCCCCAAGTCATAATCCCCGCCAATAAAATGAACTAAGGGACGACGTGTATAAAATCCAACGCGACCCACTCGAACTCCCATAAAACTTCCCGTCATTTACGTCCCCCCCATTTTAAAAATTCACGCATTGTTTACCGCCAGCGACTGACTGTGTGTCTTTTTGCAGTGTGCAACCGGACGTACTACGGCGACGTGGGCAAGACGTACGACCTGCGGGTCGTTAAGTCCGTCGAGACCCGGCTGCCCTTCCTGTGCCACCTCACGTTCACCGCCAACGGCCAGAGCCACGGAGATATAGTGCAGGTAATTACCGCCAGGTGGGGTTCCGCCCTCCCGCTCTGGGACGGGCGGGAGGGGTTGTGTCGTCCTCGCGCAATGTCCAATTTGAGATTAGAGGTGTTTTTTTATTTTTAAAAATGAGATAAACATGTACAGAACCGTATGAATATGTTGATCTCAGTAAGAGATATAAAAAAATTGAATTTTGTCCATTTTAGTTTGCTGGTGACTGTTGAAGGCATATTAATATTAAAATTAAAACACATTTGTTTATGTGCATTTGCAACAGTAACAGTTTATACCGTACGCGCCTAAAGAATGGAATAAATTCAGTAAAACCGAAACAAATTTTTTTTGGGAAAAATCCTCGAACAGGTCGATTTTTAATTTAAAAAATACATATTTTGGCATAAAAGGCGATTTTCAACCGTCATTTGTTTTCGAGTAATGACGTCATCGGCATTTTTAAATAGCAACCCCCTATTTAGACCAGGGTCGATAATTTTTGAAACCAAAAAAAATTATAGTATAATGAAACCCATTGGAAAAGAAAGAGAATATAACAGAAATGAAAGGAAAAATAATTTACGGGCGATCTGAGGTCGGGAAGGGGTAGGGGGTGAGTTTTTAAGGGTAAAAAACGGTTTCCCTTGATTTCCAGAAAAACTACAAGTCTTATGGAAAAAAGTTAAATGACAAAGTTGTAGGTAATAAAAAGATCTACAACTTTTGTATTTACACTTTTTTCACATAACCTCAAAATTTATGTGAAAAATTCAAATAACC